GCCACCCACCGTACCTGGCCCTCCTTTTCAGATACCTAGGTAGGAGATTCTGAAGCAATCTTTTCAGGGTCCGCTCCAGGGAAGGTGGTACAGCCTGAATTTTTGGGAAGCGGAAACACTGCAGGCTGGTATTAGGACCATATAGACAGAGATGGGGCAGAGCCTCACTCTCAGGTGTTGTTTTTTTTTTTTGGTTTTGTTTTGTTTTTTTTCTTCTACTTGAGTTATTTTAAAATTTTTTAATGTTTATTTATTTTTGAACTAGAGAGAACAAGTAGGGGACGAGGAGAGGGGACAGGAGGGGGTCAGGAGCGGGCTCTGCGATGACAGCAGCAAGACCCATACAGGGTTCGAACCCACGAACCGTGAGATTGTGACCTGAGCCAAGGTTAGGTGAAAATATGTAAAAAAAAAAAAAAAATCTTCTTGAAAATGAAGGCACACTCATGGAGAAATTGGGGAAGACAGGAAAAAAGTCACAGCTGTAGATAGAGTAAACAGGAACTGGCTTTTCAGTCCCAGGAGATTAGAGATTTCCAATTCTGGGCTTTCTGGAGGCCTGACTTGAGTTTGAAGTTGTCTATTTCTCATTGTTTGTAGAAGCTCCAACGTCTTGAAAGTCCTGAAAGTAGCCTCACTTCCTTAGTTCCCTGTTCTTGCCCCGAGTGTGTGTGTGTGTGTGTGTGTGTGTGTGTGTGTGTGTGCTCCCAGCGCCGCTTGAAATGAGTGTACTTTTTCATGTTTGCCTTTAGTTTTCAAACAAGCCAAGAGAGACCCCATGGGTCTGGCGGGGCCTCGCACAGGCCTGCCCTGCGGAGTGATGTCGGGTAGCCCGAGGCGGGGCTTCATTATCCTCCCCCTGTCTGGCTTTGCATGCATGAAACAGCCTATCCCTAGAGAGGAGTTTTAAAATAATAATATGTAATGTGAGATGAGATCATAGATATGAAAGCTCTTCTTTGAAGTTAAAAACATTTCAGGCTGCAAATGCACGGTACTGATATTACTTATTAATGAGTATATTTGATACTGTCTTTGTCCGGCTCCTAGGCATATTTGCATGCATTCATTTAAAAATACAGTCATCAGCATTGTGTGTGGCTCAAAGACTAACATAGAAGTTTAATTACTAATAAATACTAATAGGTACACAGATGTACAGAGGAGGCCATCCGGCCAGGCTCATCAATTTCATCACCAACCAAAAGGAATTAAAAATTGATACCACAGGAGACTCTCTTCCTTCCCTACAGTGTGAGACAAAGGAATGCTTGATGGTGAGGGTAAGGGATGCTCTTCCCTTTCCTGCCTGCTAAGTGTCAAATAGGATAGGAACTCCCAAAGGACACCTCCCAACCAAGCAGTCCCAAACTGCTTAGCAAACATCAGCGCATGATGGAGAGGTGAGTGCTGAATTGCATGGTGACGTGACCTGCTAAGCAGTTTTTAAGCAGAAGGGCTGTAGGGCTTAACACACGACCCTATCGTCTTGCACTATATGAATCGGGACTCCTTGTGATGTTTGACATCACTTGTCAAGTCTGGAACAGCACGGGCAATCCCAACACTGAGCTAACACCTGGAACAAAGCAGGTGTTCAGCAAGTATTTTGTAGGATGAGTGAAAAATTGAAAGGGGCACCGGGGTGGTTCAGTCGGCTAAGCGTCCGACTTCGGCTCAGGTCATGATCTCACGGTTCATGGGTTCAAGCCCCGCATTGGGTTCTGTGCTGGCAGCTCAGAGCCTGGAGCCTGCTTCCGATTCAGTGTCTCCCTCTCTCTCTGCCCCTCCCCCGCTCACGCTCTGTCTCTCTCTGTCTCAAAAACTAAATAAACTATTAAAATTTTTAAAAAAAGAAAAATTGAAAAAATTGAATCATTCAGCAACCAATCTCGTGCCACAAGATCCCAACCTCCCCATCACATACATTCTCTTTGGTCCCTCTGACACCCTCTGATTCACATCTATAAAATTTTGAACTGCATGATCATGAGAAAGTAGAACCCAAGACAAGCAAAAGTCCAGAGGCCTATTGCGGGTCCACTGCCTATTCTCACTTTCCCCACATCCAAGAGCCACATTCCCAGCTTAGTATGGCCAGCGTGCCCTCTGTAAAGGTGGGGTCCTGACCCATCTAAGGATTTGATACATATCCCTTCTCCTGTACAATCCCACTCAACAAGCAGTTATTAAAAGCCATTGGTACAGGGGCACCTGGTGGCTTAGTCGGTTAAGCGTCCGACTTTCACTTAGGTCATGATCTCGCGGTTCGTGGGTTCGAGCCCCGCGTCGGGCTCTGTGCTGACTGCCAGCTCAGAGCCTGGAGCCTATTTCAGAGTCTGTGTCTCCCTCTCTCTCTGACCCTTCCCTGCTCACGCTGTCTCTCTCACTCTCCTAGAAATAAATAAAAATATTTAAAAAAAAAACATTGGTACAATTTATACCATGCCAGGCTGTATGGAGAAGAGCAGAAATTATAAGCTATGGCCTCTCATCTCAAGAACTAGGATTATAGTTAGGAATAATCTGCATTGTTCTTTATTTATTCCACAAGCGTTTATTGAGCATATGTGCTAAGTACTGTTCTAAGTGTTAGGGATTCAATGTTAACCAAAGCAAAGAACTTCCTTGCTCTTATGATGTTGACATTCTGGAGGGGGAAGACAAAAAATAATTATACAAACAAACACACAATACAAATTCAGATAAGTGCTATTAAAATGAAATCAGGTCATAGAGAAACTATTTTATTTGAGATTTTTAAAAAATTGTTTTAGGGGCGCCTGGGTGGCTTGGTCGGTTAAGCGTCCGACTTTCGCTTAGGTCATGATCTCGCGGTTCGTGGGTTCAAGCCCCGCGTCGGGCTCTGTGCTGACTGCCAGCACAGAGCCTGGGGCCTGTTTCAGAGTCTGTGTCTCCCTCTCTCTCTGACCCTCCCTGCTCACACTGTCTCCCTCTCTCCTAGAAATAAAAAAAAATATTTTAAAAAATTGTTTTAATGTTTATTATTTTTGAGTGAGAGAGAGAGAGCAAGCAGGGGAAGGGCAGAGAGAGAGGCAGACACAGAATTGAAGCCTGCTCCAGGCTCTGAGCTGTCAGCACAGAGCCTGATGTGGGGCTTAAATCCATGAACTGCATGATCATAGCCTGAACCAAAGTCAGACGCTTAACCAACTGAGCCACCCAGGCTCCCCTATTTGAGGTCTTAATGGCAAGACTTGAGGACAGAGCTCCAGAAAGAGGGAAGAGCAAATTCAAAGTCACCCAGGTGGGAACATAAACTTGAAGTGTTGAGTAATACTGGCTGCCCATTCACACCATGCCCTTCACATCTTCCCCTTGGGAGCAGATATAGGGTTGGGTGTAAGACAATCTGCCTTCGGGAAGCTACAGCAGCCCTTGTGAGCACTGAATTTTACTAGATTGTTTGATTGTTTTGGAGGAGGTAAAGCCCTGTCTTCTCCTGTAGAGCTGTTTTTGTATCGAGCAGTGAAATATCAATAAGCTCCAAAGATAAGCACTCAGGAGCCAAGAAGGTGCTTCAGCAGGTGACCCTAAGGTGGCCACTGCAGCATAGAAAGAATCTGGGGTGAATGTTGGGAGCAAGTGGCCACTTCCTCCATGCTGGGGATGCTTCTGCAAAAGGGAGCAACCCCTTGATCCACTCGAGATGGAAGGCATTTTCCAAAATCGATCTGGGACAACATGATATTCTGTGTGGCTCCCAGTTTCTATGAAGCAAGAAGCATCTCAGACTACATGGATGGGCAAGAAACGGAAAGAAGTGGTGCTTCATACAAACCCACAGAGGGAGGCGAGTTCACATCAAGATGGGATCCGGTCTGCTCACGAAAGACAAAGGTACCAGGTGAGGACAAGGAGGTGACACTTTGGTGTGTATTGGTTTGAGCCATTTTTCAGAATTTATCTCACATCAGAGACTCTTTGTGCAAACTTGGAATCATTCTGGATGTAGGGTTTTTATTGAATGGTATGAAATAACATATTCAGAGACTCTTTGTGCAAACTTGGAATCATTCTGGATGTAGGGTTTTTATTGAATGGTATGAAATAACATATAACATGAATAAGTCATGTAATTTCTTTACAAGAGGGTAAGACATTGATAATATAACCATAACCAATTTCTCTAAGGATTAAGTTTATCCTTCCAGTAAAGGCCCGATAATTTGGAAAGGAAGAAAGGAGGGAAGGTGGTATGTACAGCTCTCACTAACAAACTTAAGCATCACTTTAGGGGCACCTGGGTGTCTCAGTAGGTTAAGCGTCAGACTTTGGCTCTGGTCATGATCTCACGGTTTGTGGGTTCCAGCCCCGCATTAGGGCTCTGCGCTGACTACCAGCTCAGAGACTGGAACCTGTTTTGGATTCTGTATCTCCCTCTCTCTCTGACCCTCCCCTGCTCACGCTGCCTCTCTCTCAGAAATAAATAAAACATTAAAAAAAATTTTAAGGCATCAATTTAATCCTGTGTAATTTATTGTCATGGAAGTTAATAGACTGGTGGGGGGAGGCGGGACCGTGTATTTGGGAAGCAGAACACTGTGTTGTGATTTTTAGATCAGACACAGGGAGGCAGCAGTGAGCCAATGAGAAGCAGGAACAATGAATGAATGGTAACAGCTTTGAGCCAGAAAGTTTGACTCCAGACAAGAAGCCAAGCTAGCTGTTTAAAATCATTTCAACCAAACAGAAACACTTTGTTTTAAAAACTTTAAAGTTAAACATTAGCAGAATTCACCTCTCTAGCATATGTTTTCTGCTTCCCGTTAGTGCTTAATTTCCTCACTTCCCAAATGCTTTGCTTTGCTTATCGACAATTTTTTTTAAGATTTTTTAAAAAAGGTTTTTAAGTCATCCCTACACACAACACGGGGCTTGAAGTTACAACCCCGAGATCAAAAGTTGCATGCTGTACCGAGTGAGATAGCCAGGCACTCCGACAACACTCTTTTTTAATCCATTTAGAAGTCTGAGCATTTTAAAGCTGACAAGCATCTTCCTGAGGCGTCCGAGCTGAAGCCCTGGGAGCGGATCCAGATGCCCCCACCCACAAGGGCGCAGGGCGCCAGGCGGGCGGTGCGCTAGGTAACGAGGACCGCCTTCGCGGAGCACCCACGGTGGGCTGGGGCCGACAACATCGTTAGAGCAAATTGGTTTCCACGGGCTCCTTTTTAAGTGAGGGAACACGGCGGCACCACCGCTTCCTCCCCAAAGAGGATTCACCGCATCCCTGCCCGCCTGAAACCTGATTGGACGCTGCAGGCTGGAGCTTTCGTAAACGAAGGTACCCGTGCCAACCCACCTTTACCCCGGAGCGGGGGTGCAAGTGAGAGAGGCCTAGAAGCAAAGGGCGGGGGCTGGGGGGTGTTAACTGAGGGCAGGCCGGGCACCCCAAGTGCGTGTTGGGGAATGACACCCCAGGAAGGGAGAGCCTGGCCTCACTCTCCAGGTGGCCCCGCAGGGCGGGCCCCTCGGTGAAGCCTTTGTTAGGCTGGCAGGCAGGGCTTGGGCTGCAGACTCAGCCAGGGCCGCCCTCCCGGCTCCCGCTTCCCTTCCCTTCGCGCAGCCGGCGCCTCTGTCCGCCCAAGCCCTGCGCTACGGTGCTGTGCTTCCCTTTGCCTTTGTCCCGCGACGACCAGTCGCTAGAGAGATGGTAGCTGCAAAGAGGGGGGGCTCGGGAAGGTCGCGCTGGGGCTGAGGCCCCGCCTCTGCTCCCCGGTCCCCGCGCGCAGCCCAGCCCTGGAGCGGCGGGCCCTCCCCCTCCCCCTCCCCCTCCCGCGGACCTCCAATCCCCAGGGCATTTCTAAAAGGGACCCTCCCCGCCCCTCCGGGGGTAGGCCGCCCGACGGTGCGCCGCGTCCTGCGGTGCTAGCCCTCCTACCGCCCTCCGCGTGGGGGCCGTTTCTCCTGCGGGAGCCCTGAGGAAGGGCACGGGTTCGAGTCAGGCTCCAAAGCCTGCTCTCCATTCTGCAGGCCATCTCTGATGGAAAAGGGTTCCTTTACATGATACATTTTAAATCGTTTCTTCCTTCTGCTGTTTAAAAAAAAAATGTGTGGTAGCATTTCCATCCGGTTTGTCTGTCTGGACAAATCGAGGGTGTGATTTCACGTTTCTGATGTTTTGAGCATGGTTGCGGTGCCAGCCTCCCTGGGGATATGCTTAAATCTGCACAGAGGCAGAGATTGCCTCTGGGGAATAGGCAGTTTGGGTTTGGGGGTTTGTGTTTGTGTGTGTGTTTGTTTTTGTGGGGTTTTTTGGTTTTTTACTTTCTCCCCTTCTGTATTGTTCCATCTTTTCCCAAGACATGACTTATTTTGTAATGTTTGAAAAGGAAAGAATGAGGACGGCTCTAACTAAAGTCAGGGCCACTGCCATGTTGGACATACCCTCAGCCAGGGCCCCACACAGCAGGTTTTTCTCTAATGTTCTTTTTTTTTTTAAGGTTTTTATTTATTTTTGAGAGAGAAAGACAGAGAGTGAGCAGGGGAGGGGCAGAAAGAGAGGGAGACACAGAACCTGAAACAGGCTCCAGGCTCTGAGCTGTCAGCACAGAGCCTGATGTGGGGCTTGAACTCACGAACAGCAAGATCATGACCTGAGCCGAAGTTGGACGCTTAACCCACTGAGCCACCAGGCCCCCCTCTAATGTTTTTAAAAATATGCTTAAATTCTTGCTCCTTCTGTTGTAGTCTCTTTTGCTAAAAGAGTATTAAGCACCTATCCTGTCCTCGGATACTTGTTTCCCGAGGGCTTCCCTATTTGTAACAGGCTGCCGAGAGTCCTTCCCACAACCCCCCCCCCCCCAACTCCCAGCCCCCATACTACATTTTTCTCTTTTTCAGAAGCCTGATGCTATCGGGCCCAGAATTGGCCAGAGAGGGATTCACTACAGACAGGACCACTCAGAAAAACAGTAAGATAAGTCCATGTTGTATATAATACTTTGAAAAGCAAATTGTCAGGAGAGTAGGAGAGAACTGGCTCCTCTTTATTTAACACTTTGTCCTTTGATTTGAATTCTCTCTGTAATCCGTTCAGCCTCTAAACACTTGCTGAACTGCGGCCCTCTGCCTGGCTCTCTGCAGTTCCTGGATTACAAAGGGAGGGAGCCACATCCCACACCCAGAGGGCCACACATTCTCCTGTGGGATGCAGCTAAGTGATGGCTGGGCGGGGGCCATGGAGCCCAGAATCCTGCCTGTCCCACCAGCCCCACCAGCCCATGTTCCAGAAGGTTCTCAGGAGGAGGAGATGCCTGAGCCAAGTGTTAAAGGACCAGTTGGTCAAGTAAAACACAAGGAAAGGCCATTCCCCACGAGGGAAACATGAAATAATACCAGGGTCCCTCTCTTACTGTGCTGCTCTATACACCATGGTCCCATTCGGAACACTTCACATGTGTCATATCACTTCGTTCTCACAACTCTGTGGGGCAAGCACTCTTACCGCCCCATTTAAAAGCTGAGGTCCCAGAGGCCCAGGGGATGGAGTGATTTTTCAAGGTCACATCCTTCATGAGTGGTGCAGCCAGGATATGAACTGAGGCATCCTGCCTCCAGAGTCCTTGCTCTAACCCTCCATTATCCTCCAGTCTGGTTACCTCCAGAAGTGAGAGGTGGCTGGAACAGAGTTGCAGAGGTGGGTGGAAAGGTGGGCAGAAGCCACAGGATGCTAAGGAGCCCACACTGTATAGTGAAGATGGGGAGAGAATCGGAAACAACAGGGTGTCATTATCTGATTTGGGTTTTAGAGAGATTTGTGTTTCTGGAAGGATCGGTGAGACAAAGCTAAGGTTAGCAGGGAAGTGGCTGTGAGCAATCAAATGGACTGATAAGGCAGTCAGGCTGGATGGAGAAGACAGACGAGCCTGAGCTCTACTCAGGAGACAAAGGCTGATAGTCAGCACCCAGTTTAGGTGACAAGATGGAGGGGAGCTCTTCCCAGGCCTGCTGGGAACACTGCAATAATAAGCTCAGGCTTTGAAGAAAAGGGAGGAGCCAATGAAGCACCTGTGCCAGATTCCATGTGGACGGAAGGACCCTAATTAGGTCAGTGGCAGGAGGAACGGAAAAGAGGAGGCAAGTGCCAGAGATCATTTTAAAGCAAGTGTTCTTAGTCTGGATAGAACGCAAGGGGTTTGTAAACCTGTATGTGGGAAACATTATGTCTTTATTTTTACTTTTCTCTCACTAAAAGTTATCAACTTCTTTGATGATTAATATAAGAAAATTATTATAGTAACATTAGCAATATTTATGGCTTTGTAATCAATAGAAATCACAGATTTTTCACATCACATTTCTGTGAGAATCTCCGAGTACCATTTGTGGCCCTCACTACTTTCAAATGATGGTAATTACCCCTGGCTTTGGATCCAAGTATTTAATACTATATTAGTGCATTATTACATGCATTACCATATCAACACTTTTTATAATTTCAGAAGCCATATTTTTAAAAAATTTTTAATGTTTATCATTTTTGAGAGAGAGAGAGAGAGAGACAGAGTGTGAGCATGGGAGGGTCAGAGAGAGCGGGAGACACAGAATCTGAAATTAGGCTCCAGGCTGTGAGTTGTCAGCACAGAGACCGACATGGGGCTCAAACCCACAAACCATGAGATCATGACCTGAGCCGAAGTCAGAAGCTTAACCATCTGAGCCACCCAGGTGCCCCTCAGAAGCCATATTTCAAAAAATATGTATTTCCTCTGCAATCCTTTGATTTTGTTTTATTCTCTAAAAAGCATTATTCTAGATGCAATCCAAAGTCTTCACCTTCACACCGAAAGGTTTAGTGATTCAAAGCAAAGAGTTAAGAACATCTGGCTTAAAGATAAAATAAGTAATGCTTGTTAATGATTGGAGATGGGGACTGAGGGGGGAAAGAGGAAAAGAAGGATGCTCTAAGAATACCTGGGTGATTGTTAGGGACACCTTTCACCATGGAGAACTCGGAGGAAAGAAAAGTTTGGAGAGGAGGAGGAGGAGGGTCTTCATTTGTGAAGATGTGAGGCGTGAGCAGTTGGAGCTTTCCAGTGGAAAGTTGGAAATGTGGCTACGAAGTTCAGGAGCAACCATGGAATAGAAATCTCACTGCAGAGTCAAGAGCAGAGACTTGTTACAGAATGAACAGGCATATCCAGGAAGAGCATGGAGATGGGGAGGCATGTGGTCTAAGCCAGAGCTTAGTAAGTACCTACACTGGTAGGTACTTAAGGGAACCCCTGAAGGAGAGAAGGCAACAAAAGAGACCAAGATCAAGTAGAGTGGTCAGAGGGGAAGGAGGTGAACCAGAAGGACTGGCGGGGGGGGGGGGGGGGGGGGGGGTGAACAACAGAAAGGATGCAGGGGAGAGCAGACTCAATGTTTGCAGAGGCACTGGAGAAGGCCCATAGGATGCAAGCCAGTCAGAAGTCCAAATCTGGCAGCAGTGACTCTAGGAGACAGTTGCTGAAAGCAGCAACAAACCAGACCTCAATGCAGTGAGGAATGAGGCAGCAAAGGCCATATATATCAGCTTCTCTTTCAGAACATTGAAAGAGGGAAGAGAGAGGGAAGGAGTCAGGAAGCTTCTGAAAGAGGTAGGCAGGAAGTGGGTGGCCAGAATCAATGATGCTTGTGAGCATGCTTGCAGTGTGACAGGGAAGAGCCAGTGGAGAGCAAGGACAGGCCACCCCACCCAGGGGTGGGGACATCAGTGGAGATCAAGAGATACCAGAAGGGGTGGGTGAATAGGGTAGGAGGCTGGGGCCATCAGGAGGTAAGTGGAGGGAACAAGTAGGGCCGTCTGTTCCTCTTCTGGGACAGAAGACGTTAAGTATAAGAGAACACACAGCTCAGTCTGGGTGAGGTGAGAGAGAAGACTGAAGCCATTCCCTCATCCCTGTTTCCTCCTGGTAGAAGTGGCTCAGGGCTTGTGGGGCTGAAGTATACGCAGTTTGGGAGGAGGGCCTATTTAAGAAAAAGAACACAAAATTTATAAAATCAAAACTGAAGACAAAGTGGATATGATTTAGAATGAGAAAAGAAGTCACACACATTACAAGTTTTTAAATAAATTTGTTTAATGTTTATTTTTGAATGAGAGAGAGAGAGAGAGACAGAGAGAGAGAGAGAGAGAGAGAGAGAGGAAGACACAGAATCTGAAGCAGGCTCCAGGCTCTGAGCTGTCAGCACAGAGCCCAGTGTGGGGCTCCAACCCACAAGCCATGAGATCATTCCCTGAGCCGAAGTCAAACACTTAACCAACTGAGCCACCAGGCACCTGTAATTTTTTAAACCCAGATACATACCGCAAACCCTATAAAATTCAGAAAATAATATGATTTCTACTCATTGACTGGCATGCCTCTATCATTCTTTTTTCCCCCCTACGTATTTGGCTATAAAACTCTGATCATCTCTAAAAGGAAAATATTTTGTAGTATTTTCTAAAGAGAGAGTAGAAGAAGAATTCCATATTTCTCCTAATGTGGTTCGTGGCTCTTTGTTTTCTAACATTGATGGATGGGGTGCATAAAGCTTGCAACTTGACACACAGACCGCTTGCTGTTTGTAGTACTGCTACGGGCTTCTGTTCCGCAAATGCAGGAATTACACTTCTCTCTGATATGATTCCAATTAAAAAAAAGGAAAAAAAAGTGCAACGTAGGTCTTAGCTTGGGCTGCTAGGACAAAAATACCATAGATTGGTGGCTTAAACAACAGACATTCTACATTTTATTTCTCACAGTTCTGGAGTCGGGAAGCCTGAGATCACGTGCCCGGGAGGTCGGGCTCTAATGAGAACCCTCTTCTTGGCTTTCAGATGGCCGCCTTCTCACTCTGGGCCCACATGCCAAAGAGAAAAAGAGCAAGCTCTCCAGTCTCTTCTTATAAGGCCACTAACTCCATCGTAAGGACCCCATCCTCACGATGTCATCTAAACTGAATTACCTCCCCAAAGTCCCATATCCAATTAGTGTCACCGTGGGTGTTAGGGCTTCAATGTATAAATGGTGGGGATGCCAACATTGATGTGGAAGTGACCAAAACAAGTCCATTCAGTCCAAGTGCATTCAGTCCAGCAAAATGCACTAATAATTATTAATGTTGCATTTTCTAGTGTGTTCCTGACAGGAAAGGATTTCTGTTTTGACTGTGTCCTGAGAACCAAATCCTCTACTTATAGTTTAATATATCGGAGAATTACAAGAACTTTCCACAGACCAACTCTGGCTCTATACCTTTCACACCCTGCTTTCCCCTCTTCCCCCATACCTCTGCTGTTGGGACATACAGCCTGCATGGGACACACTTCCTCTATCACATCCCACCCTGCACCTACGGCGGGACCAGTGGGGGGTAGGAAGCCTGGGAGCTGCCTCCACAGCAGGATGATCAGCTCTAACTGAAATTGATGTGGAAGTGACCAAAACACATAGATGTTCCCCACTAAACTCAGACCAAATGTGTCTCCCACCTAACTCCCTCTTAGCTGAATCCCCATGTACCCACAGCCACCTCAACACTACCTAACACAGTGACATCTTAACCAGCGCGATTAAGGTATCTTACTTTAAAAATATGTTTCTTACTTTTGTAAACTCAGCAAAAGCAGCACATTGCCGGGGCCTTGCCCAGGGCCCCAGAAGTGAGGGGCTTCTCCAAGCAAGGAGCTTTCCCTTGAAGGTGATTCTATCCCTGCCTTGAGGGCACAGGCCGTGAAGGCGAGGGTGTGGAGCAATGATTGAGACAGCTATGAAGTTGGCAATTGTGAGGTGTAGTAACCAGGGGAGTGTTACTTGGGTCTTCAGTCATTTGATCCTCTTAGCAACCCTATGATGTTGGTTCTAAGGAAATCTTCATTTTACAGATAGGGAAACCGAGTCATAGAGAGGCTAAGCCACTGGCCCAGGGTCACGCAAGTAGT